ACTTGCTGTGCACTTTTACACATCACCCTGCCCCAAAACAGGCTCCACCACCACCCCACCTCCACAACAGGGAAGAAACCAGCAATCTTTTAGAGTGGCTGAATCTTTTGTGAATTTCCAGGATCATTTACACCATTTCTTTAAGCATAACTGTTTCTATAGCTATAAAACGAACCTACATTAGGATAACACAGCGGCTAATGGCCTTTGCCCACACACTTTCACCAGAGCGGCAGGCCCTGGATTAGCACAGAGGAACAGTTAGGATCCCTAATGCCTTTTGCTATTAGTGTATAAAGCAATGCAATTAAGAAGGATGCCCAGCAATGCAAAGAACCCCATGTTTTCATTGTGTAGCACTCGCCCCACACACGTCTCTCTCTGCATCGCTGGTAGATGCTGTTTCCTTTGTGGTAGTTTGTCCAGCGTTTGACCGTAAGCTGTTCGGGGGAAGGAACACACACACCCTTTCTGTCTCTACAAAGCACTTACTATCCGTGGGCAGCGGTATAAAGAAAAACATTGGGTCTGGCCAAGGAGAGCTCAGAACAATGCAAAGGGACAAACAGGGCAAAGATGGCTTGATAGCACCTCACCATTCCCCAGCCCTGGGCTTGGTCCCTGTGATGGCAGCCAGAGGCCAGCAGGGTGCAGGGAAGGTCAAGATGTCCCCCCCTTTCCCATGGCTGTGCCCTTTGCGCTGACTATGGGGGGACACGGCATTCGACTACAGCAGCGCCAAAGATCCTGCCGTGAGCAGGTCCGTCGGCTTTCTACCAGCAGAGCAGCACCGGGCCAGGTCCGGGTACTATAGAGCCATGCTTAGCGCCGCACATCCTGGAGTCACATCAGCACAGCAGAATCACAGCTGCCATGTCAAAAAGAAAAGCCAGTTTCTAGTCTTTATGGTTGCAAAGAAAAGCTTGAAAGTGTGACTCAAGTGCCACCGATGCAGCTCCATCTGCCTGACTCTGCAGGCAGCCTGAGACGATCACTCTGAGGGCGTGACTTGTCCCACACATCATGGGCGGGTACTGCTCTGGGGGCCCCACCAGCCCCACCTCAGTAGGGAACTCTGTGTGGGGCAGGTGGAGAAGAGCACCGCAGGTCCCCCCACAAGCAGATATACCCCAAATGCTGGGGGGGATCCAAGGGCCTCCCTGCTGCCCCGCTGGGTATGGTGCCACTCCTCCTGTGGAAAGGGGGGGGTCTTGCTGCTGTTCCTGGTGGAAAGCCGTGGGGCTCGTGCCACTGTCCCTGCACCTTGGGGAGGGAAGGGACCCCCCCCCCCACCAGCACTGCCAGCAGGACCATGGCAGAGCAACAGGGAGCCCCGTGTTGGAGGGCTCCCCGAGCACCAGAGTGCCTTCATGGGGACCTGGCTGCCCTAAAGCACTGGCCAGCGGACAGGATCCAAACCTGCAGTGAGTCATTTCCCCCTATGTTGTGCCTCAGGCTCTGGGAAAGACCGCCAAGCCACAAAGAGGCTGCCCTGCCTTCCTCCCCTCACCACGGGCACTGGAAGGGAGGGCCTACCATCCCTACCAGCACAGACAGAAAGACAAAACCATTGCCCCTTGGCACAAAGGCAAAGATAGACCCCAGCACCAGGGATCTAACCCTGCAGGGCTAACTCAGTCCAGACTCCCAGGGGGGTTAATGCCAGATAACTTGTCTCTTGACTGGCTGTTTCCTTTCCAAACCGTGAAGTCTCACAGGACCACGCGCTGTGCTTGTCATCTTTTTGGCCTGCGACTGAAGAATCCGGCAAGCCACTAGTATCCTTTCCCCTCCACATTAACTCCGGCCAAACTCTGCCATTGGGAGGGATGCCTGGAATGGCATCGCTTTCTCCTGTGTCCGAGAGGATCTACTGCCGTGAAGGGATGGAGGAGGAGGAGGGTCAGGTAGCAAAGAAAAAAAACCAAAATTCTCGCCCACTTTGCTGAGAATCACAATCCCTCCTCCCCTTTGTCTAATTAACTTGATGTGACACAAAATACTCTCCCGTTTTCCCCCATTGGAATGTGCTAGAAAAGCAGCCATGCAAAAACTAATCGAATAAGACAAAGGAGCCAAAGTCTACATTTAAGGCTAGGCAGAGCCTTTGGCCTCAGGCCTGAGACAGGGTCCGTATGTGGCTGCACCACTCCAGGAGGCGCACTTCCTCCTGCCTTGTCGTGCAGGAGAAATGTGTCACCTTTTTGGGGGGTGCAACTTGTTTCCCCACCTGGTGCCTGGACAGCTCAGCTGGCTGGTGCATTTAGGGGCAGAGTCAATGCTCCACCCATACCCTGCCCCACCCTGCCCACTTACTCACGAGGACGGGTACCACAGGTGTGCAGGGCCCCCACACCCAGAACGGCCATCTGAGCAGCCCACACACAGCGTCTGAGGAGGGGAGCAGCCCCCACTTCCACTTCCTACTCCCCGCTGCAGGCACATTTGGGCTGGGGACTGAATGTCAGTCTCCAGTCACTGCAGGAGGAGTCTGACTGAAGAGCACGGCTGCTTTGAGCACTTCCAGATCCCGACAGGAATCTGCAGAAGTGGAGGGCCATCCGCGAAGCATCAGGTACAGGCCACATCCCGAGACATGCTGCACTGATGCTATTGCTGGTCTGGTATCACAAATCCTAGACTTTGGGTCAGGAGATTTCGGTCTGATTGCTTGGGGCAGCTGAGTTCAGGGACTGGGCAGGTGGTTTTCTACACACCCTGTTCTAATATAGGACTATTATGAATGAGGACTTTAATCAGTTTGATTACTTTAATCAGTTCAGCGCATGTTCTCTCTCAGGGCTGTAGAGCACTGGATTTGAATGCATGCTCCCTACAACCACCACTGGTAGGTGAAGGGGAAATGGAACAGTTTAAGACAGGAGATGACATCAGAAAGGCATCATCACCAGGAGAACATGAACAGTGATATCATGATCACAACACACAGGCCATTACATGTGGAGGTCTACTTGCTAATGGAAAATAAGATGTAAATGAGTCACTTATTCAGAGCAACTCAGCTGAAAGTGTATTTAGGATCGGGCAAAAAGACTATGGACACAGAGGAGTTTTGGACTGTTTGTATAGTCTCTCTGGGTAGTGATCCTGGGCCATGCCTTGCCACATACAGATACACAAAAGGCTCTTTTCCGTGTTGGATTTGTGTACATTAGGCCTCTCCTGCTTCCACGGATATCAAGTGGAGTTTGACCAATGACTTCAGTGAGAGCAGGATCAGGCCCCTACACTGACCAGACATCCAGCTTCTTTGGAACGTCTCCACTGAGACATCAAGGTTCCATTTTTCCTTAAACTTCTCTCTGCTTTGGACTCGTCCACTTCCACAGGTTTGGTTTCTGGTGGGTTGACTCTGGCTGGGCTTCCTTTTACAGGGAAAACTAAACCCAGAGAGCCTCATTTTCCTCAGCATTGAAGACTCTAGGAAGAGGATCCTGACGCCAGTTTTCTGCAAAAACGCAGGGCTGCCCTGACTTCCCACCCCATGTGGCCCCTTCACTGACACCAACAGCCCCTGGAACTCTGATTGCAATGAAGTATGTCTTGCAAATTTACAAGCACAAGAAATAGTGGCCAGATGGCATCTCCTGCTCCGGTGGCTCTTTTCTCCAAAGCCAAGGGGTGACTGTGTTATAATGGATGTGTCTGCGCTAGAATGGAGTTCAGGAATCCTGTATCAGGTGGGGTTATCAGCACAAGGAAGATGCACCCTGGTTTGCAGTTATTACCATTCCACCCTCAGTTATGTTAGGTCCAACAGAAATCCTACGGAGAGCCACCAGTCTGTTGTTGTACTGCATGACAATGCAGAGAATGCATTCTTTCTAAGACACAGGCTTTTCATTTGCCCATCAAACACGTATACAAATAGCACATACACAAGAGATATAGGTGCCACACATCAGTCAATCACAACAATAACGCGGCAGTTCAGTAATTGAGGTTTCTTCACTGTTTGAATTTCCAATCTAATCAGATCTTGGCAGATTTAAAAACAAAACCTACCCCACACTTACCTGTGCTCAAACCCTGTTAATTCTACTGCTCGCATGTAATGGCATTTATAGGACATGCTGCCTCTATATGACTGAAATAGCTGCTTGCCTTAATCAGCATATGATCAAATAGTTTCACCCAGGAGAGCTACAGCCCTGATTGACAAGCCAGTTATAAAAATAAAGCGGGGGGTTAAATATAGCTAGTTCAGGTCTGGGTACCGCATGGAGTATTGTATTCTACCAGGCTACAGCATTTCCCTTGAATTAATACTCTCCATATTCTCGCTCTTGTCCTATGTATATCGATCAAAGCAGCTGCCAGGTCTGTGGCAGAGAGGGGAGCTGGAATGGCATTCAGTCTTCCCCTGAGCTAGAGGGACATGCCATCAGTCTTTCATTGGTCATAGATATTCCGCGACTGAGAGTTCATGTCCCAATCGAATGGGTGTGGATGCTCTCTGTGCAATCAGATAGACGTGTGTGTGTGTACACGCGGAGAGACACACGCCTGGTGTGAATGAATGGCGGTGGGTTATCTCTAAGGGGTGACTGTCGCTGCCCAGTAGCCAGCTAAGCACCATCGAATGCCACACCGTCTCCTGGAGCAGTGGGTTCCCCAGCCCGGGGTGATGTGCTCCGTTTGCAGGAGCAGGAGGACAGGGCTCTGCTGTTTGCATGGAGGAAGACGGAGGGGTTGGGGGGGGGGATCAGTCTCATTATCACCCGCGTTCAGCGAGCCGAACCCCCCCGGAGTATTACGTAAATCGTGAGCATTAAGGAAACAAATCACCAGCCAACATCTGTCTCCCCCTCACACCTCCCTGCGCAGCCAAGGGCTTCGCTGCGGGAGCTGCCAAGGACTCGCCTTCCCCAGTGCACCGGCCCCGGGCACTGCGGGGTTTGTGGGCTCAGCCGCCCCGGCCACACGGACCCCCAGGCCCCGGGCAGCCCCCAGGCCCCGGGCAGCCCCCAGGCCCCTACCTTTGCCTTCCATTGCAGACCCTGGCGAGCGTCGGGGAGTTGAAGAAGTTGCAGAAGATGCGCCGCTTGCAAGGCGTCCTCTCCAGCCAAAAGCGAGAGCCCAGCCCGGGGGATGCCGCCTCGGAGGACGGGATCTCTCAGCCCGCGGAGCTGCAAGCAACCCGCAGAGAAGACGGGATCAGCAGGCGCGCGCTCTGCGGAGCCGGGCGGAGCGCGAACCGGAGTGCGCTCCGTGCGAACGGGGCGGGGGTTACCTGGAGCCGCAACCCGGCGCTGTCCGCCAATGTGGTGCTGCAGGTGGAAGTGTCACATCAGCCCCTTGGCTGGCCCTGGTGGCTGCACGGCAGATTTGCACGGGGGCCGGCGCGCATGCCCAAGGCTCCCCCCGATGCATCCACCGCTCAGCCCATAGCGAGCCCTGCTGAAAAGCGACGCTGGGCACAGAGCTACTCTGCTAAAAATAAATACCGGACTGGATGTTCCCTGCAAGCAATAACAACAAAAAGTGGATTGGATTGTACCTCGCCCTCAGCCGAGAGCTGGCCCTGGCGTTTGCAGGCTGCTGGGAATTTCTGCTGGAGGATTAGTTAGTGGAGGTCTATTCAGCACTTGCATTTTCTGGGGTTCAGATTTTCCTCTCGTTGCTACCTTGTCAGTTCACCTACAGAGCCGCATAACCAGCACATACCACAGGGCAGCCTCTCCCCACTGCTCAGCAAACAGAGCAAATGCCAGAGTGGGCTTGTAGTATTAGATTATGGAAACCAAATCCCTTTCATGCAACAGCGACAGCCACTTCTTTCTTAGTAGTATTTTAAAGGATCTTAATGAGGCCATGCACACAAACGTTTAAGAGTTGCATGCAAAAAAAATCTGATGTACATGTGCAAGATAGGCCTTTGCGTATGTAAATGTATGAATATGCAAAACCCTGGCTTATGCATCACCTGTTTTCAACATATAATTTGTATACCTGTGCAATTTTGTACATGGAATTTTTTTTAAAAAATCGAGACCAGAACATTCATTGATGTTAAACCCAGAAGGGACCATTATGATCATCTAATCTGGCCTCCTGCGTGGCACAGACCAGAGTATTTCACCAAGTAATTCCTGGATCTAGCCTATGGCTTCTGGTTGAGCTGGAGCAGATCTTGCAGAAAGACATCCAGTCTTCATTTGAAAACTCCAAGTGGTGGAGAACCCACCACAGCGCTAGACAAGCTCTTCAAATGGTTAATTACCATCACTGTTAAAAATCGATACCTTATTTCTACTCTGAATGTATCCAACTTCAGCATCCAACCATTGGACCTTGCTCCACGTTTGTCTGCTAAATTAAAGAGCCCTCTACTACTGGCAGAAGCGTTCTCGCAGTGGAAATCCTTGTAGACTGTATCATATCACACAAGCCTTCTCTTGGATAAACTGAATAGATTACGATCCATACATTTCTCTATCAGAATGGTTTTCCAGGCCTTGACTCATTCTTGTAACTTTTTGCTGAACCCTTTCCAATTTTTAAACATTTTATTTTTTGGAGTGTGGCCATTGGAACTGGAGAGAATAGTCTAGTAATGATCTCACTCATGCTGTATACAGAAGCAATACCACCTCCTTACGCCTAGTGGATAGCCTGGACATTCATCCAAGGGTCATGTTTGCCCTTTTAGCTACAGCATTGCACTGGTTGCACACGTTCAGCTGGTTATCTGTCATGACCCCTAAGTCCTTTACAGAGTCACCACTTTCCAGGAAACAGTCCCCCATCCTAGAAGTGGGACCTACATTCGTTTTTTCCTAGATGTATAACCTTATATTTGGCTACTAAAATGGATGGTGTTCAAGTGAACCCAGCTTGGCATGTGATCCAGATCACTCTTTAGAATTGACCCGTCCTTATTAATGTTAACCACTCCACCAATTTTTGTGCAAACTTTACCAGCAAGTATGTTATATTGGACCAAGAACAGATCCCACTGGATGGGGCTGACCCATTTAAAATTTCTTTTTCAGATCTACCAGTTAGCTAGGTTTTAATCCAGTTAATATGTTCTACCTTGATTTTGTATAGTGCTAATTTTGTAATTGGATTGCGGTGTGGTACTCGCCAAATACCTTACAGGAGTCCTACGTATACTATGTCAACACTGCTACTTTTATCAGCCAAACTTGTGATTTCACCAGAAAGTGAGAGCAATTTGGTTTCCTTTAATTGTTTACTCACTGAGCCCATATCACCTTTTCCATGAGTTTGCCCAGGATCAACATCAGGCTAACTGGCCTATAGTTTCCTGGGTCATCCTGTTCACCTTTGAAATGTTGACACAACATTAGCTTCTTTTTCCAGTCCTCTCTGGAACTTTCCTATGGTTCTAAGATTTGTTTTAAAAAAAAATACATCAAAGGCTCTGAGAGCTCCTCAATGCAGCTAGCTATTGAAAAATGTTCCTGTCCCAAATAGCGACCGTTAAAATCTCAAACCTTTTCATTAACTGAAAATTCAAAACATTTTCTGTTCAACTTCAAGTCAATCAAAATGTTTCATTTCAGCAATTACAAAACACGGTGTTTTCGTTTTGATCTTTGTTCTTTTTAATTAGCCTTATTTTGAGTCTACACGTACTAAAACCTTTGAATAAAAAGTTGTTTCGACTCAAAACCCCAAAACTTTTTATTTTGAAAATGTTGACATGGGATGTTTTTCACAATTTCTGTATTTGTTTTCCCAATAATTTTTTGAGTCATGAGATTTGTTGAAACTGAACCTGTTTCATGAACAAATTCAGCTTCAACAAATCAGCATTTGGGAGCAAAACAAAATAAACAAACAAAAAATAAATAAAAAAACCCAAGCCCCCTCATTTTTGAATCCCTTATTTTCAGGTCAAAAAATTCCTGACCAGTTCTACACTTCAGTCAATTCTTTTAAAACTCTTGGGTTCAAGTTATTCAGTCTTGCAGATTTAAAAATGTTTAATTGTAGGAGTAGCTGTTTATCACTTTCCCTAGTTACCTTTACTTGCATGCTTTTAGCAATAATGCTTAGCTCTCTGATGCTATGGTAATGGGCATCATATGTGTACAGAGGCAAATAGATAAATGGGTATGTTACACGGTCATAATAGTACATACTGATAATAAGTGAACATTAACCTGCACTTGAAAAATAAAGGCTCAGTTCAGGAAAGCATTTGAGCACATGCTTAAGTCTCATGGACTTAAATTTAAGCATCTGCTTAAGTGTTTTCCTGAACTGGGCTTAAATGAACTAAATACAGATTTTGTCCTGAAATGTGATCCATGTGGGAAGGGCCCCTCTGGAGCCCCAGTGACAATCCTAGAACTCTGTGCAAGGGAGTAAACAGCTGGGGCAGATTCTCAGCTGACATACGTTGTCCTGGAGCTAGGACCATCGACACTAGCTGAGAATCTGGCCCGTGCCTATCACACTCTATTAACAATCTTTTTATGGTTATTATCTTTGTTCACGTTCTTTCTCATTTGCAAAATTTAGTCAGTCATTCACAATAGGGGTCGGCTACTTTCTTTTGCAGTAACATTTTAAGGTTCCATGTTTTGTCTTACTTATATTTCATATTTATTCTTCTTCTCACTGTCTTTCCAGTATATTTTAAAGGGGGAAACTTCAGGCATTCCTAGCTGTTGGCTTTCTTGTGTGTTTCCAAATATTTTTAATTTGTGTATATAGGCACTCGGATTTATTTTTAAATGGCAAAGGTCAATCATTCCCCACTCCATCATTCTGTTGCACAATTTAGGCCCCAGTCCTGCAAAGACTTAAACACACGTGCTTCAATTTAAGCACTGTAAATAGTCCCATTCCGTCAATATCAATGGGAGGACCCACAGTGCATAAAGCTAAGTAGATGCATAGGTCTGTACAGAACCAGAAGCATGAGAACTGCAGAACGGAGAAGAAAAACTCCAAATTATTCACAAAAGTCCAGAACCAAAAAATAAAGTTAAAGTTGGTGCAAACAAAGCATGTAAAGACAAACATGGTATTTTCTTACAATATTTTATTCTATGGTTATTTATTTATTTTGATTTATAGATACATTCATAAGAAGGAACACCTCTCTTCAGCACTTAAGCACATTTTAAATATACAGTTATAATCACTGCACTCATATGCTCACTGAAAAGCAAAGTATCATGGATAATTAAACACAGTGGCAGAGTTTGGTGGATATAGCCCAAAGCTGCTGAAACCAGATGTGTTGAAAGCTTGTCCCTTTCACCAACAGAAGCTGGTCCAATAAAAGATATTCCCTCTCACCTTGTCTCTTTCACTGCAGTAGGCATCTGCATTGCTTGGTTTTATAAGAAATTTTGAATCTTTTATTTTCAGGTGACCTGAAAAGGATAAAGTGGGATTGTGTCTTACCTGGCTTCTTGATGAAGCATAAGGAAGGCCTCAAGGATTTTTCCTGCTTGTTTTTTACCTTACAAATATCTAGAATATCAAGCTTGGTCTTCAGTTTTGCTGGAGTTTTCCTTGAAGGACCTAGAGATGTGGATTGGGAGTTCTCTCAGCCCTCAACTGAAGGGAAGAGAGACCTGAATCTTTAACTACTGAGTATTTCTTTCATCTGGGTTAAATTGCTGTTTACAAGAATTATGAGTTCTAAAAAGTCAATTTAAAAAAACACCCATTTTTCAGTCTCCAACAACCATGTTTCTCTTGCTTGGCATCTCTGATGTCACATTCCTACTCTTAGTTCTTCAGTCACCACAACACCTTCCCGCAACCAGAATAGGCAAGACCTACATTTTTAATGTAAAAAAAAAAAAAGAAAACGAAACATAAAAAACTCCTCCTCCTGCAAAACACACCCACCTTCTTCATATATACAAAGAGGCAAATACAAGGGAACAGATCCATTGTTTTGTTTTTTTTCATTTGCAGGTCACCTTTCAAGGTCCTTATCATCAGCATAAAATATTATGCTGCCTTGCACCTCCAGCCCCTCGTGAAAGTCAGATGTGTATCGTGTGCAGCTTCCCGAATCAGCAAGAGTCTAAATAAAAAGATACAAATGTATGTATTTATCTTTACAGCACAAAACTGTTCAAACCAGCCAAGGACAGAATGCTGCAGTATTCCCAGAGATTCAGCAGAATTGCTGTCCCACTGGACTACCTCTCAGCCAATTCCCAAAAGGGAGACAGGAGGGGGAGGGAATATCTTTTATTGGACCAAGTTCCGTTGGTGAGAGAGACAAGCTTTTGAGCCACACAGAGCTCTTCTTCAGGTCTGGCTAATATGCTGGTCTCTAAAATCCTGGGACCAAACACAGCTACAACTACACTGCATTCCCAAAAGGGAA